ATCGAATGAATGAATATCGAATATATTCGAACATTGGAAGTCGAGTTTCGAATAAATATTCGAATGATTTATCGAATAACTAAAGCAATCACATCTCAAACTTGCCGACATATCTGGCTAAAGCCGTTCCAATTATAATCAGCCCCCTAGTATCCCCTATACTAAGCTCAAGATTTTTCAAAAATCGGTGAAATCGGTGGTAAATTTTATTTTTAATCAGCGCCCTCATTTACCCCTCTACCAATTCCCAGCCCCGCAGCTCAAACTTCTCCAAAAATCGATAAAATCGATGAAGTAAATGTTTATCCATAATCCGTGAAGGTGCACCAGCTAGCTTTGAGCGGTCGCGCGCGTCGTGTAAGCGGCTGCCCTCGTGATCCTTGCTCGTTGTGCACCGCACGGGTAAGAACCGCATTTATACACCTTGATCCTGCGGCTTTGTTCGACAGCAGACCTTAGTTGTCAGGCTTCCACTGGATTTCAAAGACTTTAGCAGAGTAAAGATAAAATTTGGGAGCTAAAATCTAAAAATGAGAAACATTGCAACTTGGTGTAAGCACCTAACGAGCTGTTTGGATTCATAGCGCTAGGTGTGCGATCTTTTGAAGCAATAAGGTGGCCACATATGTACTTAAATTTTACAAATGCTACGATACATTGCCTGTTCATCGGAGACTTTCGTCTTGTGTGGTATACGCTAGTCGTAGACGGTGGTGAATTGTGGTAAATTGCCATTACATCTGAAAACATCTCGTAACTGGCAAATGGCGTACGGCGATCTAAGCCGTCTAATCCTGCACTACAACTGCGATGTCCTTTACTCAATAAACACCAATTCGTAAAAAACTCCAAGGTAACGAATAGGCAGTTATGAAATGATTTATGCGAGCAAGAGTGCTCACTAGGTGAGCTTTGCGTACCGCAAGCATGAGCAATGCAAAAAAAGAAGAACATCCATTTCAATTCAGTACAGAACATGAGCTTGAATTTGATATCTTCTTTGCTGATTTGGTGCCAATAGCAGTGCGAACAATCTCACTGATCGAAAAAACATCAATTAAACTTATGATTTTTTTTACTGTCGCAAGCAGTCGGAAGAATGCGACTCTCCATACAGTTCAAAGGTATACCGGTTGCAAAAGATGCATTACCAAGTTTTGCGAAAAAAAAAACGCGGACGAAATGAGCTTGATACTCAGCATTTGTCTCTGCAACAAAGTCGAATAATCTGAATACGGAGTACATTCGAATACGAATTCGAATAAACATTCGAATAAAACATTCGAATAAAATCTATTCGAAACCCCGTTTTTTGATTATTCGAGTTTTCGAATAATATTCGGAACCTCGTTTTTTAATTATTCGAGTTTTCGAATAATATTCGAAACCCTGTTTTTTGATTATTCGAGTTTCGAATTTTATTCGAAACCCCGTTTTCTCAATTATTCGAGTTTCGAATATTATTCGAAAATGGAAGAACTCCGAATATCGAATTTCGAATACGAATATATTCGAATGTTTTATTCGAATGATCGAATTTCTATTCGATTCGGACCCAAGTATAATTTACAGTATAGAGCGAATCGTCCATCTTTCTCTTTACTGTAGGATTACGGTAAAAAGTTGAAAGAGGGTTTTGGGCCATGGAAAGGCCATGTTTTGCCTCAGAAAGGAGACAAAACAGCCTGAAAACTTTTACATTAAGCTATTTAGAGTTGCTGATTCTAACTGTAAAGTTCCCAACTTATTGTGATGCTTCATTGAAGAGTTATGCGAGATAAGCAGTAGCGGCCATTTTTTCAGTGTTCCTAAAAAGTGCCGTTACACCGTTTAAAAAGCTTCGCAATCTTGTGAATAGTTGAGTGTTGAACTCAGCGTCCATAAAAACCCTATTACACAAGTTTTTACATTTTTTTGAAAAATTTTGAAACGGCAGCTTTTTCTACATTGACACCATATGTTTCAAGTTTCTACCGTAATTCTACAGTAATGAAGAGAGATGGGTGATTCGTTCTATACTGCAAATCTAAGTTGAAGCCAGCTCTACAAAATGGTACCTGAAGCAAGGCAAAAGACTTATTGGGAAAAGAGATATTAACGATCAAATAGTGTATACATACTTTACGGACACCCTGTATTAGCATGTCTGCGGAAGACATATCACTTGCTGTAATGCTCATACTTACGCCATCCTTATACTAGGACATCAACTTTCATACAGAGAATAAGACTTATGGTACTTCTATTTCCCCAGATTCTTAAATCTCTTATTAGATCTCTACAAACAAAGCTGAATGTCTATAGGTATGTGTGCGTCTGTGTGTCTATGTATCTGTTTGTGCGTACGTTCCGAATAGAAAATTTTATTTCTGAACCGATCCGGACCAAGCCTTGCACACATACACTTCGGGGCGGGAGGATGTCGTAGGCTACTTTTCGTTATCGATGGTTATCAATTTTTTTCATTTTTTTTTTGAAAGTTTAGACTACGGGGCTGGGAGTTGGCATAGGGGTGAGCATCCTGATTAGGAATATATTAATGCAGGGCTGGGTGAAATGGGGTGTCAGCCAGTTTTTACTAATGTTCTACTTACAACGATATCAGAATGATTTATCAAAGGGGTAAAATGTAAAATCCAAACATCCTTCATCTCTTCAGCCCACCGTCGTGCATCTTTGACTATTCACACGGAAAGTTTATGTGAAGGAGATTGTGCGAATAAAGATACGCATCATATGTGCGAAAGTTTAAAAAAATGTTTCGTAGGAAAGCAACTCCGTTTTGAAAGGGCAGAACTTTGCTCTACCTAATGAGGGTGAGAGTAAAATGCAACGCTCGAGGACATAGCAGGTTGTACGTAATTCTGCCATAACTTTCTAGAAGAGACAGTATTAAACTACAAAATGGCCTTGTTCCTTGTTTCTTGTTTGTAAAGTTCACAAACTGAGCTTCAAAGCAGAGGCGAAGAGTAACCCTCTCCACCGGCCAGATCAATTTATGCTGCAGATAGTAGACTTCGCAGAAGCGAAGAAGTTTGATACTAATAATAAGCTATACCCCTTTGTATACAATCAAGTATGGCGACATTCAACTAATGTTTACTACGGTACCTTTTCTAAGAAGTACTTAAGCATTTGAATAAAGGTCTATAGCTATACCGTAACTCACCCTTTCGCTTCCAAAAATACAGCAAACACTGCTTGAAGTGGCTCAAGTTGTAGTGCGCACGATTTTTCCCTTCTGATTTCCTCCAAAGCGTCACCGTCGTCATACTATATAAAGGGAAATTTTAGTGTATGCCTCAAATCAAGGCTTCGATAGGTTCTGTGATATAGCGCCGCTCGAAATGTTAAAATGGCCTTTTTATGATCAATCAAAGAAAAGGCTGTTGCAACTAATTGAAGCTTATTATTAGATTGACATTCACCGAACTCCAATGAAATTCAACGAAATCCGCGCCGCATCGCCACATGGATGAGCGACAAAGTCTAAACGCGTTCGACTAAGCTGCGAGGCGTATTTTCTCAATGTAGACGTGCCCATTTGGACACGGTAAAGGGCCAGACTCCACGAATTTCGGATTTTTGCTTATGTTGGCTTACTTAGTGTGCTTATTCTTTGCACATTGAGCAGCTAGCGTATGCAAAAATCTATGAAATCTGACCTCTGCCGTGCATTTACTGTATTTGAACGAGCTGCTACATATATGTCAGAAAATGCGCTTCGCCGAGCTGAGTCAAACAGTACCCTTGGAATCAGAGCTCTTTCAGTCTAAACCAAGATATGTGCGACGCGGATTCTAGTAAAATAGAGCTCTCCAACTTTTTCGACAAGTGAGCGGTATTGTATACAGTCACAGATAGCTTTTACCCCGATAGAGCAATAATGTTGTTGTCCGTATAGGAAGGTAGCTTCCACCGAAAATATCATCGTTTATTAATTGTGTGAATGAGTCTTTTTTTTATCAAGCTGACACTTCGACAGGCAGTAAGATAATAAAGTGTCCTTTGCATGACCGATAAGCTAAAGAAAGTACACTCGGCTCAAAAAAACTTTAGAAGAAATGCTTTGGTAGTTTTGCCCGATTTGGTAAATTTCAACTGCGACTGAGTCAAATCAAGCGTAACTGATGGAGCATTACTGATGGAAACCTAGCACCCTATTATTCCAAACTTATGCCGGACCAATCTTTCCAAAGTACCCTTTATTCCGGATTTATCGCATACCCACTTTTCCAACCAGGTGTTTCAAACCTTTTGCGCTGCCTTTAATGAAGGTTTTATAATTCGCTTTTGATATAAAAGAGTTTTGTTATTCGCTGTTTGATATGTTGTTTGATATAAAAGAACCACGGTGCTAGTTGATGACAAATATGGCAGATGTAAACGGAGTGCGGGTAATTTTCCCGCTCCAAAGACAATATGATGTTTTTCTGCACCAATAAGGAGCTATACAACAACTTTGTTATATGAATGAACTTGCACATCTCTGAACCCCTTTAGGCCATTGTTTCTGAGTCGAGATGTTTTGACCGAGTAAATTAGATTTTCAATTGCATCAAAGCGGTGAGGAATAAGGAAACTTTGCAACATGTACTGTTGTAATATAGAATTGCACATTTCCGCATTATAGTCGTCGTAAAATTCCGTTCTTTACTTGAATTATCTCACGAAGTCACACTTTATAGTTGAACGTGTGCTCCTTCCCCACACTCTATATGCATTTCACTCAAATTATTGTCGCGCTTTTTTTGCGGAGTATATAAATCGAAGCTGCTTTTTTGGCTCTGTCATGGAACATAAAAAGCATCTTGAAGTGCTATGGAAGTTTGCACTCATTTTATCGATATTCATGGCGGTTCGACTTATCTTTACAATTCGCTAGATGATAACGGTAACTTTCCGAATTGGAAAAGAAATTATTTGGTAAATAACACAAGAGCCAAAAAGCGTTGTTATTTTCGTTTACTGAATGGTTTTCTGAACAAAAGAATGTATCAGGTCATAAACAGGCAATGGTTTCATTTGATTTACTTCAAAGAGGGCGGGACAGCTGCAAAATATGTTATCTGGCAACCGCTTTCTTTTCGCAAGCACAACCGCAAGAAGGCGTGCCACTTGAAATCTCTCCCCTCATTCCTTAAAGTTTCGTATGAGCCAACCATATTATAATCAGGTATGTATTTATGGACTACCGATTCTGTTTACAGCTTTATAAGAGAATTTCAGCCACCTAGCCAGCCTTATTATAACCAGCAGCCTGGCTATTACCCGCAACCACCACCAAATTATTATCCTCAGCAGCCACCACCAATGCAACCTTATCCTCAACAGCCAGCTCAACCTTACCCTCAGCAGCCGCCGCAGACAGTCTAGTGGGTGCCTCTATTGTTCTTGATTACCTCTACACGTTCAAAAGCAACATCAGGTTTTACTGCCGGATGAAGTCGGTTAACTAGAAGAACGAATGATCCTACTACTGGCTGGGTAACAGAAAGACACAGCAATGGTAGCCTTCTGCGACCGCTCTTGCATCCCAGACCACCGTCTTCGTCCGGCAGTAAGTCCCATGTAAGTCAGTGAGTTTTATTATACCGATTTTATTATACCGATAGTTTTATTTATTATTTCTGTGGCGGGTGCACTGGAGTTTTCGCATTAAAGTACTTCCGCCGTTTTCTGCCGTCCCTTGTTTGTGGTCGTATATGGTATAATTGCGCAAGGCGAATAGTCAAATGAGCATAGCTGTGTATTTTGTATTGGGTTATTTCAAAAATCTATCCGTTTGTACCTCTTCTTTAAGCTGCTGATTGGATAAAAAACCATTTTTCATGAACATTGTTTAGTTTGTTCGAAAGCTCTTCTCTTCTAGTTCTTTATGCATTTTCTCTCCATAGATCTGTATTCATAGATTCGTACCTTGATATAACAGCGAAACAAATATGGCTATTTTCCATTTTTACTCTGTTGCCGGAAATTTTACAGATGGAAACTTCCTTTGCAACATATGAAAACTTGCTGAGGACTTGTGCTACGGAATGCCTGCTGCGATATATTCAGATCTCTAACTCATTGTCTATAAGGCCTGTCGTTGTAGTTTTTATGAGTTGCATGAAAATAATAAAAGCAACGCAGCCACGGAGCTTTGCCTCACATAGTAAGACCAGCCCTGGAACATTCATTGCAAACAGAGTTTCATCAATCGTCAAAGGTATGAAAGCAAAATTTTTAGAAAAGAGCATTGGCATTTCAGGGCAAAATAAGTGGGTCCTTAACTCTGTAAGAAATTATGGAAAAATTTTGGTCAACTTTGAGGTTAGCCGAATATAGCTAGCGTTGAACCACCGACAGCGAGCAGTACTTGTGCACTTACATTCCATATCAATTTATGGCTTTTCAATGCAGAGGTTCGCAAGAGAAAATGTTTGGCGGTCCGCCTATAGATATCTTTTACGTGGTGATAGTCTCAAATATGCTTGAATTTGCCAAAAACTACTGGATTGTCACATATTTCAAAGCATTCGCAGTGATCCGTTTTAGAAGAGTCAGAATCAAACATGTTTCAAAAGGGTAGAACTTTTGAAACAACCCAGTGTAGAATACAATTTGTTGTTCTGAAGGTCAGGGGCTTTCTTTCACTAATATCACACCTTATGATTGCGGCTTTGATCTAAACCCAACCATCCTTACGGTGGTGCTGACAATATCCACGCGATAAAGATGCCATGACCCTTACTTTTTTCTCCTTCACCAACTGCTATAATCGTTGCAACTCAAGTCTTCTCCATAAAAGCTGAAATACTCATTTATGAGCATCCAGCTAAATAGTTTTTTCGTTTTCGCATGACACGAAACCTGCTCCGTGGCTTTACCATGGTTACGTCAATAGCTCAGGCGGGAGCCGGTTCAGCAAATTTTCACGCTTATTTGGTTTTCGTGTCTAATAGTTATTCAATGGAAAAAAGAGCAGGGCGCCTTTTTACTATGTTTAATGATTTGTACATGAGTAAAGAGAGTGAGATGCCGAGAGAAGGTTGTACTACAAATGAGGAAGTTCAAGAGTTTGATCTCCTGGATGGGTAACAATCCCTTAATCTTACAATAAAAGGTAGCCTCCAGTTCGAAGTTCAATTTGACTTTGCATTATGAAATTCATAGAGTGCATCCAAAGCAAAAGACGGGGAAAGAGTCTTGAGTCCTCATTGCTTTTGAGTAACGATATTTTTACTTTGTCACATATATTAGGTTGGCCCGAAAGTTCTTTCGCACCAAATTCAAAAATTTATAACTTTTGATTTTCCAACCGACTGGACTGCTTTTATATCTATGTTGAAGAGTAAGTCATGCTCTTTATAACGACATCTTAGCTGCTTACTAATGACCATCTGTTGCATAGATAGAAGCGATAGAAGAAAATTGGTCAAAATTCGAATTTTTCGTGTACGGTCATAAAAAATCGGAAACTTGCAACAAAAATCGGAGCAGTCAATGTTATAGGTTCTGTTACCTGCTCTTTCTAACTGTGCAAAGTTTGCGCTGATTGAACGTCTCTATAAGAAGTTATGACTTTCAAGCAAGCGATAGAAAAGGGCGAATTTGGTTTACTTTGGCATTTTTCAGGAAAATCGTAATTTTTCATAGAAACGCCCAATCAGCGCAAGCTTTGCGCTGTTAGAAAGAGCAGGTAACAGAACCTATAATACTGACTGCTCCGATTTTTACTGCAAGTTTCAGGATTTCGGTACTATTCCACATAAGTTGACCCAAAAAATGAAAATCGTGAATTTCGCTAAAACTTCGTCTAGGGGGGTTATTTGGTATGCTGAACACGAATATGATGTTTATTTCGTGCGACAGCGCCATCCGGTGGAATTACGGTAGGACTACGGTAGAGGGTCAAAATCACGGATTTGCCCGAAACTTGGCCCAGAGGGGTTGTTCGGCCCGCTGACGCCAAATATCACATCGGTTTTGAACCGTAGCGCCATTTTCGCGGGTTACGGTAGCTACACGGTAACGGGTGAAAACATAGTTCTGCCTAAAAAACGGGTGTACGACGATTCGGACGATCCTGAAACTTTGCATACACGACCATCGCCGTACGCTACACACCCTGCTGCGGCTTTTGCCTAAGCAAAGCACAGGGGAAGGATACATTTGCCGATTTTTATTCTGACCTCTACCGTAAACCTACCGTAACCATGCAGGGAGACGTTTTCGTGCGGCGAAAGTGTGACATTTCTTATCAGCATGTCGAATAACCCCTCTGTGCGAAGTTACAGCGGATTTTGAGATTTTGACCTCCTACCGTATACCCACCGTAACCCGTGAAAATGACGCTACGGCACAAAACCAATGTGATATTCAGCATCAGCGGGCCGAATAACCCCTCTGGGCCAAGTTTCAGGCAAATCCATGATTTTGACCCCCTACCGTAATCCTACCGTAATTCCACCGGATGGCGCTGTCGCACGAAATAAACATCATATTCGTGTTTAGCGTACCAAATAACCCCCCTAGACGAAGTTTTAGCGAAATTCACGATTTTCATTTTTTGGGTCAACTTATGAGGAATAGCGCCCAGATTTTTTATGACCCTACACAGAAAATTCGAATTTTGACTAGTTTTCTTCTATCGCTCCTAATCAACCCAATAAATTCGTCTTGATATTTACTGTAAAGATCCAGAAGTACTACAATTTTTTGAGATCTAGAATGACTTAAAAGCCTTTTAAGTAAGGTTACGCGTAACATAGTCGCCCTCCCCTAGACACCTAGTGGATGATTTCGAATTCAAACTAGGGCACGCTGGTTGCGCCAGAGCGCGGCACCTGTATCCCTTATATCAATTTCAAACAGGCCTTTTGTGTCTTCCCAGCGTTTCACTCTATTTCCCAAACGTTAACAGTCTTCTCAATTGAGAATAAAGGTTTTGTTACTTTTGAGAGATGTTTCATGCTGTTATGCTAGATTCTTTAGCTCTGATTTCAGGTGAAGCTTGGTAAACGACTAAATTAAAAAACTGTGCTAGTGAAATCTTTTTTCGCTAAGTAACTTTCATGTTGAAAACTCACCGGGTGCATCGTTCTTCTAACCCTGCCTGATAGAAAGAGTTAAACTAACGAGCAGAGTAGTATGAAACATTGCTAAGCAATAACAATCTCGTCGATTTAGACTACAAAGGCAATGAATCAAAACAATCACCATGCAAAGACAAGAAAACACAAATGAATATTGCATGAGCTTGATTTGACGATTCCGCGCTCTGCCGCAGGCTGCGCGCCCTAATTCAAATTCGAACTCGTCCACTGGGCGTCTAGTGGGGAGGACGACTATACCAATAAATTCTCAAGCCGAAGGAAAAACTAGACATTTCGGCTACGAAAAGTTTTGTCGGCCGGGGTTAGAAGATGATACCAAAGAGACGAAGAAATGTGTATCTGAAATTTGAATCTGTTAGATCGATTTTGCGATTACCTTGAGAAAGCTGTAGTTATGAGTTTTGCTTCGGCAATCTTAGGCCCAAATTTGAACTTGGAATTGTGTTTAAAAGCCACATATATCCATGTAAACCTCACAGGCATAAAGACTTCCTTACAGACGAGAAGGTGACCAAAAGACTCCTTTCTAGATACATAGAAAATAGCAGCCCTTCAGCTCTTTGCATACTACTGGAATATGACAGCAGTCCCAAACGCAGGCAAAAAAAAAACTTTGGGATATGATAATTACAAAATGTAAAATGAATTTAGAGAGCTTAGCTTAATGATTCTTTTGAGAATAGCCTGCACCGCTGAATAATTCTTGAATCTTCAAAAGATGTGAGTTGCAATGTTGTCAGCGATTAGAAATTGGCTCAAGAAAATGCTTTCTTCTGATATGCTTGCTATCTCTTAGAAAAAAAGGTTTTCCAATGCTATAGTGATAATGGCAGATGTAGCTCATAATCGAATAATTGCAGCGTACAACAAGCTCCACCACAAAGTGACAGCTCGGGCTTCTGCGCTGCATTTCTAGCGGGTATGTGCTGTGGATGCTGCATGGAAAATTGCTGTGATAACATGGTTAATTGGTGTGATTGAAGATGTGTCAGCAGCTTTCCCGCTACCTTCGCTGTACTACCCTAATTATACGCGTACAGGGCGCACTTTTTTTTCGATTTTTCAAATGAGCCGCTTAGCCGCTTCAATGTATCTCGGGATCGATTTTTATGCCGTACGATTCCTTCAAGCAATATACAGCAAGGTATAGGTCCTTTGGTTACGAAGTCCTTCGGCGTGGTTGGTCTCGTCGATTTTGGAAAAAATTTTCCCCGCGCCTAGTACGCGTGAAATTAGGGTAATTTGTTTGACAAAAAAGCCTATGCGGTATTAATTGAAATTCTGTCAATGTCAGAGCAGTAGGAGTGTATCCCAATGATGTTGTATTCGAAGTGTTGGAACGTGATGGAAATGCATGTGCCAAAAATATACCAAAGTAGTAAATACAGCGGCCATAAAGACGGCACGGATGTCTGCAGTTGTATGTATTAATCACTAACGATGTTCTTCCCGTTACTGCTCAAGATTCACAATCTTAACACATGCATTCGTTGCAAATCGTATGTTAGTGCTTACATTTGGTGTACGCTCATCATTTTTTGTAATATGTAATGATTTAAAGTGTTCAAGCATGGCAGATTCATATATATATATTTATATTATAGCAAAGCTCGAAAATATGCCGGTAGTAAACCCCCTCTCAGCGCACTCGGCTGGGGGCGGGCCTATATTTAACGTAGACCGCCTCAGTTCGGCATCCGATGAGCTATTGATTTGGTTGCTGATCGCTTTCTGGTCATGAAAATCTTGTGTGTTCCCAAAAACTCAACACTTTGATCAGGTTTGGTAGAGCGGTTAATTGAATAGGTTTCAAAGCGCGAGAATGGTTCGAAGCCGGCTAGTGGCGGATTTTTGCTCCACCACGGACAATCTTTGATAGCGGCCGCTGTCGAGAAAAATCGATGGCGACCGCTATCAAGGATATCGCCAAAATAAAGGAATAAAACAAATTTATTGTGACGGGAATATCATGAAAAACGAAAATTTTGTAACATAGCAAATGAAAAAAAACAAGAAATGCTTGTTTCATCAGTTTTTAAAGGAAAAACGTAAGCAAGCTTTAAAAAAAGAAAAGTCCAAGTAATTCTGTTCTCCTTTTCTCGCCGCTATCAGCTGTTCATTGATCCTCTTCCATTTAGGCCGCCATCGGGCAATTTTGGGAGTTTTGCACCGCAAGAATACGTCGACTGAATTTTCCCTTGAGTTACTCACGAGCAACTTACAGAAAATTTGTCTGATCCTCTTCTTATGCACACTATCTTTCTCGGATCACCCTAAAACTCAACCTCGGATAAGTGGCATTCCGGTGAACTGACTGTGACACTTGATCAGACAGTCTTCTGACTGTTGAACTGACTATCCTAAAGCACGGGAAGGTGGGCGGTATAAGGTTCACCCGAGGAAGTTCTTCTAAATGACTAATCTCAAGTCACCTGAGATGAATGGAGGTTTACTACGGGCTATAGTCGAGTAGAGTTTCCTCTTAATATACAGGGTGTCCCAAAAAGATGTGCACACTGTTTGATGGTTAATAACTCTCTTGCTTTCATGTCTTTTGCCGAGCTTGAGGTACCATTTTTTGAAGCGAGGTTCAACTTAGATTTACAGTATGGAGCGAATTATTAATACTCTTTATTACTGTAGGATTACAGTAGGGATTTCGAGGAGGGGATTCTAAGCCATTGAAAGCGGTATTTCGCTTCAGAAAGAAAGCCAAACAAGCCAGAAACCCTTGAACTGGGTTAATCATAGTCGCTGATTCTAAATATGAAAACTGCACGTCAGTACAATGTTTCTTTCATGAGTTAATTCAAATTTAGGGAACAACGATTTTCCAGTGTTCAGCAGAAATGTGAATACGCCATCAAGAAAGCTCGAAAAACTGATGGAAAGTTGTGTAGTGAAATCAGAACGCCTGAAAACCTTGCTACACAATTTTTTAGATTTGTTTGAAATTATTTCACCAAAAGGCTTATCCCACAGTGACGCTGTATGCTGAAGGTTCATACCGTGATCCTACAGTAACGAAGACTGATTGGTGGTTCGCTCCTTACCGTAAATCTAAGTTTATCCTCGCTCTACAAAATGGTACCTCAAGCTCGGCAAAAGACATGAAAGCAAGCGAGTTATTAACGATCAAACAGTGTGCACATCTTTTTGGGACACTCTGTATTGTGCTTGACAGCAGGTAATATGCGATTGAAGTCGCGCGTGAACAATCAGCCTTGCCAGTGATGCCAGCATTTTGCGGGTGCCATTAGCCGGCGTCGCAGGCGTAGCTGTTCAGCCGCAGATTTTACCGCATTATACCTGCAGTGCAAGCACACAATATTGAGCAGAAAACCTCCTCGACTTAAAGGCAGTGTCCGGGCAAAAACTCGATTTTGAGATTTTGTGCTTATAGGGGCCTATTCGCCATGCTGAGTCCGAAAATCCACATTGCAATGCGCGAAAACGGCAAAAAAGGGCTCTGACGCAGGAGGGAAACAGCAAGTGGGCGGGGTCCTCCCCACTGTGAATTCAGGCTCTCAGCTTCCGGAGCAGTTTTCTCGATTCCGATAGCCGTTCTAACATCGTTACCGGCCAAGTGCGATGATTAAGTTGAAACAAGGGAGAAGATCGCTCCGGAAGTTGGGAGCGTGAATTCACAGTAGGGAGGACCCCGCCAACCTACTATTTTCCTCCCGTTTTAGAGCCGTTTTTCGCTGTTTTCGCGCTCTCTAATGTGCATTTTCGGATTCAGCGTAGCGAATAGGCCCGGGGTAAGCGCAAAATCTCAAAATCGAGTTTTTGGCAGTACACTGCCTTCAAGAGAATTGGAGTTTAAGGAAGAAGTTTGTGCAGTATCTTTGAGAAAAATTATCGAACTACTTACATTTTGCCGCATGATACATACAGGGCTTATCAAATGCAGTGTCGGGTACACCAGCATCTCCATTCCCGCGCGGGACCCTGCATCTTCCGCGAAAATGCTCTTTAATCATGTCAAATCGACTGAGGCTCCGCTCTTTTTACGCTTGCTATGTAAAAGTGATCAAAGAGCATGTTCGCGAAAGATGTGCAGAATCCCGCGCGGGAGCGGAGATGGCGGCGCGTTGGACACTGCAGTTCTTGTATGTCGTTGTGAAATCTCAAGCTTTCACTACACGGCTTAAGAGGTTTACATGGATTTTCTAAATCTAGATGGAAACTCGAGATTCCCACTTTTAGGAAGGGTCTTTTGCGGCATTGCTCGGCTTTTACAAGAGGAACCGAAAAGCTGCTTCATAACATGGAAGAAACTTGCTTCTATGGCTAGCATAGAATAATATCGGCTTGAATTTCATTACTGCAATCTATACTCAACAGCAGCTTAATTTTTGTTCTTCAAAAACGTCTGCATGCCCTTTTTCTCCTCCTACTTTCTTTCTACTTCCCATTGCACTGTTACATGCAGTGTTGTTGTTTGTTGTCGTTTATGATGCTGCTGAGCATAGGTGCGATAGGGGGAGCCGGGCTCTCCCCAGGTGAAGGGGGTCTCGGCTGTTTCCGACCTTCCAGGTGAAGGGGGTATGTGAGCCTGGGGGGGGGGAGAGAGGGAGAGAAAAGGTAAAAAAAGCGTGGTATGAAGTGCTCTAATTTGCACCTTATTTAGGTACAAATTTAAAAAAATTTTCTAGAATTTCAAAAAAATAATATTAGGTTGAAGCGGAAGTTCTTTCGCACCAAATCCAAAAATTCATAATTTCTGAATTTTCTAACCGATTGGACCGCTCTTATTATAATATGAAAGAGTAGGTCATGTTCTTTATAACGACCATCAATTGCTTACTAATGATCATCTATTGCACAGATACAATACCGCTCTCAGAATGTGCAAAATTTCCGTGAACTCCGCGAAATTCCGAGAATTCCGCGAACTTCCGCGACATTCCGGGAATTCCGCGACATTCCGGGAATTCTGCGAAATTCCGGAAATTTCGCGAAATTCATGTGAATCACGCAAATTACGCAGGGCCATAACTTCGTTCCGAATGAGTATATTCAAAATCCGAAAGCAGCATTGGATTCAGCTCGTCAAGGCGAATCTTTTGGTATACAGGTTGTCTCCAATATCCTCTTTTCAATAATCTTGAATCTGCATGCGGACGCCTTTTCGCGTGGGTGTAACGCAACAAGCATCATACATAGGAGACTGCGGCGGGCACCCTTCGATAGTACTCTTTTAGTAGATTATTCTGCGCTAAACAGCAGCCGAAGACTCTCTTTTAAAAGAAATAGAAGAGCTGATAAACTCTGGAAAAATCAAGCTGTTCCCAGTTCTACTAGCCGTAACTTCCTTCAGAATGAACATCTTCGAAATCCGAAAACAGTATTGTGTTCAGCTCGTTAAGGCGAATCTTTAGGTGTACAGCATGTCCTTGAAATTCCGTTTCCAATTTTTTCTAAATTTTATGCGCTCGTATATTCATAAGGTCGCAACGCAGCGCACACCAAACATAAAAGACTCCAATAAGCACTATTGGATTGTGCTGCTCCCGCAGATTACCGAGCGCTAAAAACGAACTGGAGAATCTCTTTCGAAAAAGATAGAAGAGCTGGTGAATTCTGGAAAAATCGTGTTGTGTCAAATTTGGCCCACTGTAACCCTAAAATGGGAAGCTCTCCTGCTAAGCAGATGTGCTTTTCGTAATCAGCAGGTCAGATAACCTCTTTGAGCGAAGTTTCCTTATAATCCAAGATCATCGACATTTTGACCAAAACCCATCGGCGAGCTTCCGGGCGTAGAACGAGAAAAAATCAAATCACCCGAATTTCTTTGAAAACTTGCTCATAGAGGTTATCTGACCTGCTGATTACGAAAAGCACATCTGCTTAGCAGGAAAGCTTCCCATTTTAGGGTTACAGTGGGCCAAATTTGACACAACACGATTTTTCCAGAATTCACCAGCTCTTCTATCTTTTTCGAAAGAGATTCTCCAGTTCGTTTTTAGCGCTCGGTAATCTGCAGGAGCAGCACAATCCAATAGTGCTTATTGGAGTCTTTTATGTTTGATGTGCGCTGCGTTGCGACCTTATGAATATACGAGCGCATAAAATTTAGAAAAAATTGGAAACGGAATTTCAAGGACATGCTGTACACCTAAAGATTCGCCTTAACGAGCTGAACACAATACTGTTTTCGGATTTCGAAGATGTTCATTCTGAAGGAAGTTACGGCTAGTAGAACTGAGAACAGCTTGATTTTTCCAGAGTTTATCAGCTCTTCTATTTCTTTTAAAAGAGAGTCTTCGGCTGCTGTTTAGCGCAGAATAATCTACTAAAAGAGTACTATCGAAGGGTGCCCGCCGCAGTCTCCTATGTGTGATGCTTGTTGCGTTACACCCACGCGAAAAGGCGTCCGCATGCAGATTCAAGATTATTGAAAAGAGGATATTGGAGACAACCTGTATACCAAAAGATTCGCCTTGACGAGCTGAATACAATGCTGCTTTCGGATTTTGAATATACTCATT